TTCAGATTAATCAATCTCTTCACCAGTGATCCTGCTCAGGACTCAAACATGTAGATAGAAGAAGGGCCTGAACTAAAAAAAAAAAGGGGGGGGGTGGTGCCTGGGTGGCTCAGTCAGTTAAGTATCTGACTTCGGCTCAGGTCATGATCTCACAGTTCGTGGGTTTGAGCCCTGCATCGGGCTCTGTGCTGACGGCTAGCTCAGAACCTGGAGCCTGCTTCAGATTCTGTGTCTCCCTCTTTGACCCTCCCCTGCTCATGCTGTCTCTCTCTCTCAGAAATAAAAAACAAAAACAAAAACAAACAAAAAAAGAAGGGCCTGAAATCATTTGGAGCAAACCACAGAAGCTTAGCAAGTTCTTGAGAGGGGCGACAGACTGCCAGTCTTTCCTGAAGGGTAAGGATCTAGATATCATCACAGGGAACCTAGCCTGACGGACCGGATGTCCCCTGCTCACAGCCATCATCCAGGCGGGTTTACTGACCTCTAGACACGATATATTTTATTTATTTGAGTTATTGGGTAAGGCATTGGCTATTTGGAAAGGATATCCCTTTGAAAATTTAAAATCAAGTTGGAAATAATGATTTGGGAGTATTTCACCAGCTGTTTAGGAAATCCTGGATTCTCATGTTGTCTACATTTATGACTTTGTATGCTTGCAAAGAAACTAAAAGTTAAATATGTCTCTCTTCTGTGAAGCTTCTTTAAAATTCAGATCTCCGCTATACATATATATATATGTAAATAGCCCAGGGAGAGTTGGTAGCTTCCATTCAACATATTTAGCTGGATCTTTTCAACCAAAATGTAAATCTGCAGTGTATTCTAATGTAACCCAATTAGAGCTACTAACACCATCTGTATATATATTTTTGGTTCAGCTGTCAAAAAACACACAAATACACCCCAGTAATACAATATTGAATAGTTGTAGGATACTCATTGTACTATATTTCATTTAATTCTTTTTACATTTTTAATGAATCAATTTTTCACTTTTTCCTTTTAGAATTAGATTTTTTAGTGCATACTCTAATATGTAAGTCTTTATTCATATCTGATATTTTGTGAGGACAGATTAATAGAAGTGGGATTACTATAATAAACTATATAAAATTTTATTTTATTAAAAAAATTTGGGGGGGGTGCCTGGGTGGCTCAGTTGGTTGGGTATCCAATTTTGGCCTAGGTCATGATCTCACCGTTCCTGAGTTCGAGTCCTGCATCGGCTCTGTGCTGACAGCTCAAAGGCTGGAGGCTGTTTCAGATTCTGTTTCTCCCTATCCCTCTCTCTGCCCCTCTCCCACTCACACTCTGTCTCTCTCTCTCTAAAATAAATAAACATTAAAAAAAAAAAAAAGGTTTTTAGTTTCTTTGAGAGCGTGAGAGAGAACATGTGCATGCACACAAGCAGGGGAGGGGCAGAGAAAAGAGACAGAATCCCAAGCAGGCTTTATGTCATTAGTGCAGAAGCTGCTATTTGGGGATCACGTTCACAAACTGTGATATTATGGCCTGAGCTGAGGTTAAGAGTTGGATGCTGAACTGACTGACAGACCCAGGCACCCCTTAACTTTTATTTTAGAGAGAGAGAGAGAGTGAGCACAAGCAGGGGAAAAGGGCAGAGGGAGAGAGAGAATCTCAAGTAGGCTCCATGCTAAGCACAGGGCTCAATCCCAAGACCCTGGGATCATGAACTGAGTCAAAACCAAGAGTCAGACACTCAACTGATTGAGCTACCCAGGTGCTCCCCCCAATTTTATTTTTTAATTTTTAAAAATGTTTGCTTATTTAAGTAATCTCTACACCAAATACGGGGTTTGAACTCATGACTCTGAGATCAAGAGTCACATGCTCTACCAACTAAGCTACCTAAGCACCCCTAAAATTTTAAACTATGCTTTTAAATAAAAACAAACACATGTATGTTTTCCCCTACCCTCCACCCACTAATTGCACTCTTTGGTTTAAATCAATAGTCTATATTTATATTTTTATGCTGTATTATTCTTTAAGCCATGTAGAGTATTATGATTATAATTTCATTCTTATACATTTTTAATATTTTCACAACTAATAACTGCTTATCTTAATCCATATGTTTAGTGTAGCTATTTTAAAACTTGGCCCCAAATTCTTTGACACTCTTCCCATTGCTTAGGTGAGTCTACAAACCATTCTCTTTGATTGTGGGTGGGCCTGGGACTGTTTTGATAAGAGATTATGTAAATGACTGTGTGTGTGACTTCTGAGGCTGGTCATAAAAGAAGATGCAGTCACTGCCTTGTTTGCTGGAACGCTTGTGTTTGGAGTTCTGAGCTGGCAAGTAAGAAGTCTGACTATTCTGAGGCTGTCATGTTGCAAGGAAGCCAAGAGAAATGGAGGAACCATGTGTAAGCACTCTGGTTGGTCAGTAACGTGGTCCTGACATTCCGGTCCAGGCGCCAGCATGAGTTGAGTCTCTAGATGATTCCAGTGCCCAGCATTGCTGAGTCACCTCCAGCCTCCGAGTCATTTCAGCTGAAGCTCCAGATGTTATGGAGCAGTCATCTTTGTGCTCTGTCCAAATTCCTGACTCACAAAATTCATGAATGTAATTACATGGTTATTTTAAGCAGCTAAGTTTTGGGGTAGTTTGTTATGCAGCAACAGTAACTGCAACACTTAGTTTTCTATGTATCTATCATTGATTTGTCTTTAAATTCTCAATACGGTCAAGTACATCAGTTCCATTGTTTTCCTTAAAGAAATTTCTCCTGGTGATCTCTGTCCTTTTGTCTCAATCTGGACTGGATACATAGCCATTCATTAGCCTAGGACTTGCTTGGATGAGAGAGTGTAGCATGTTACTTATAACTTAAGGATGTTGGGCCTTGGAGTCAGGCTGCCTGAGTTTAAATCCTGGCTCCACTGTTTGCTAGCTGTGTGACAGCACAAGTTAATTTCTCTGTGCCTCAGTTTCCTCAGTAGGAGAGTGCTTGTCACATCATAAGTGCTCTTATTGTTTATTATGCTTCCTTTCATGTTGTTCCGGGAATTCCCACTACCTCATGCCTATGTCTGATCCCCTAATTCTTGGTTACTTCTTTGTCTTAATAAAACACATCACCTGAAATATATCCCTTGAGAAAAGATGCTTGGGAGATAAGTTTTTTGAGACCTTGTATATCTGTTTTAAATGGTCTTTATTTAACATCACACTTGATAATGTGACAGTCATAAAAGTCTAAGTTGGCAACAATTTTCTCTTTGAATATTGAAGATGTTAGTTCACTGTCTTGAAGCTTTCAATGTCACTGTTGAGAGGCCGTTCTGAGTCTTGATCCTTGGTGTATGTAGGTTTTTCTTTCTCTTCTTGGAACTCTTCAGATCTCTTTTCATCCCCATTGTTTCAAGATGTGATAATGATGTGATTATTTTGGGCCCCATTTCAATTTGAAAATTTAGGTCCTTCAATTCTTAGGATTTTTCTTTTCTTTACAATTTTTTAAGTTTATTTATCTATTTTGAGAGACAGGGGGGCAGGGAGGGGCAGAGAGAGAGAGGGAGAGAGAAAGAATCCCAAACCCACAAACTGTTAGACCATGACCTGAGCCAAAACCAAGAGTTGAACACCTAACTAATTAAGCCACCCAGGTACCTTTCTTTACAAGTTTTGTTGTTGTTGTTGTTAATTTTCTTAACTCCATTTTCAGTTTTCTTTTGGGACTCCTAATTGCATATAAGATCTGTTGAACTGGTTCTCAAAATTTTTTTGTCTTTTTTATCTTCTATTGACTTTCTCTTCAACTTTCTGGGAAATTTTCTCATTTGTATTTTGTATCTTCTGTTCTTATGATTTATAAAAATTCTGCTTTCATATTTTTTATATTTTATAATTCTGGTTTCTTTTTTTTAATTTAGATTTTTTTTTTTATTTAAACGGTTTGCCCAGAAAGGAATCCTCTCATCTTCTATCAGGTGAATGTGACTTTCTCTTCAACTTTCTGGAGGTTTTTTCATTTGTATCTTCTGTTCTTCTGATTTATAAAAATTCTGCTTTCATATTTTTATATTTTATAATTCTGGTTTCTTTTTCTTTTTTTATTTAGATTTTTTTTTTTAAATTTAGATGGTTTGCCCAGAAAGGAATCCTCTCATCTTCTATCAGGTGATTATGAGGGATCTGAAGCTGGCTGACGGAATTTTGAAAGCCAATGAGAAAAGAGGGTTAAGAGAGGGAAAATCTTACTGCTCCAATGCAGATATCACTTAGGCTCTCTGTGCTTTAGTACAGCAGGTATCCCTGCCCTCAGTTGTGCCCACTTTCCCATGTCCAGTCTCACATTAACCCAATTGATAAGAACCACAAAGTTAAATAAATTCTATGAAGTTTTGGGTGAAAGGGCAAGAATTATCATTCCAGAGTTTCTGGATTAAAGAAAATAAAAAAAGTTCCCCCTCATCTTTTACACCTTCTTATCTGGAAAAAAGTAAGAAATTTAGCCAATTTAAGCCGCTGTACCTTTCCCACTTCACCATGCTTTTTTTTCCCTCTTTGATAATACCTCAGAATTTGAGTATTCTGGATCCAAGTTTGTTTTAAAATAACCCAATGAGCTGACAGACGGAGCTTCTGGAATTCAGCTTGTGCTAGAGTTTGCAGATGGGAAATTGCCGTCAGTTAAAGGGTGGTGCTATTACCATAGCCCAATTTTTGAAAGCCTTTAGAGAAAAAAAATCACCCAAGTTAATTAGCATCCACCACAGGCACTGGTTTCGGGTTGCAGTATTCTAAGAACTCAGATAATAAGAAAACAGTAGTTTAAACTCTAAGTTTTAGCTAGCATTTGCCTTTAAAAAATGTGGCTTATAAAGTAAGAATTTTACCTGTTCTATGAAAATGCTCTTATATGGCTGATCTATAGTCTTGGATCATCATGAAATATGAATTATGTTCTAAAATCACCTAAATACTACTCTACTGATCCCCCCAAATAGGAATAATTTCATTTTACCTCTCTGATCTGCTTAATCCACAAATCTCTTCCAAGAAACTCCTGATGTAAGACTACGGGAGCTGAGTTTAGATTAAAAGTCCTGGAGTCACTGGTCTTTTCCTTAATAAAAGGCTGAAGGTCAGAATTTATCTAGGAGGATTAGTCAAAAGAGTTAAATCAGTAAAATGCATATATACTACTATGTTTCAGTCACTTCAGAAAACACCAGGTAATGCAGTGAAAAATGAAGCTGAAGGAATGACAGCTTTTAGGCGAACTTTAATAAGCAAAAGAATAGTTCATATGATTTACAGTAATCTTTAAAATTCTTTAAAATGATTTTCCCCTGACATATTCCTTTTCTATTTGGCAGCAGACTTTGCTTTTATTTTTTAAATTAAAAATAAGAATTTAAATGAAGTTTTAATGAACAAAATTGCTTAACAGACAAATCTAAGATTTAATAAAATATATAAAAAAACTTATCTGGAGCTATTATATATATGTGTATATATATGTGTGTATATATATATATAATATATATATATTTTCTCCTCTCTTATGGGCTATTTAAGTAACATATAAGAAATATATATTAAATGGAATCTTTCAGTTACATATATACAGAGAAAACAATATAACAGCTAACCTTAAGACTTTTTATATCTCAGTATGCCCACTCAAAAGGACCAAGTATTAGAATTAAGCCTTTCAATTTTACTCAGTATATATATGTATCTATATGTGTTATATACACACACATATATATGTATGTATCTACATGTGTGTATATATGTGTGTGTGTGTGTGCATAAATATATACTTTTTTAATCAGTATATTTCTTAAATTTCATTAAATTTCCACAATTTGTTTTACATAAGGGAACTTTAAGGTAACAAAAACACGAATATTCTCCCATTCTGTAAAGGGCAACATTACATGTTATTTCAGAATTTGTAAGAGTTCTCTCAAGAACCCTTTCAGGTGGTAAGAAAAGACAAACATCACAAATATGGTTTAAGTAACTGTAGCTTTCTATCAAAACTGCACAGTACTCACCAATCACAGTGTTTATATTACATAACAATTACCGTCTATGACTGATATATTTTAAGCACACAATAAGCATTTTTTTTGAGATATAAAAGCAGCTTATTAAATGGCAGGAGGTTTCTTATGTATCATTTTAGCTATTTAAGCACTGGAAAAAGAAAAAATGTGCAAATACCTTATGACTCATGGCCATGTGCTTCCCATACTGAAATGCCATATCCTGAACGTCAGCATCATGCTTTGCTAATTCCATTGCAGCCTGGCAGCTCTTTGCTAATAAGGCACCATGGGAGAGAAAAGTCTGTTCTTTCCAAGCTGATATTCCAATATCTTCTGTGATATGATTTTCCTAAAAAATGCAACAAAGCCAGGATTTTAAAAAATGTTTTAGGAGTAACTTAATTGTTTTTGCTTTGAAGAATAGAAGAGTTAATAAATGAAGTCCTCAAGACAGAACTAAAAGATGTGGGACCTCGGCTCTACCTGCAGAGAACTAAGGGGTAGGAATTGTTGTTTTGGGGTAATGGAGGGAAAGATGAAAGAAATCCGGAAGCAAATTTTATTTTGAACCAGGAGACTTCTATTACAGTTTATTTGTAGGATAAAGCAAAATTAGAAACTTGGGCCTCCAAACTAACTCCCTTCTACATTCACGTAAGTGCTGGTATTCCAAAACACAAGATGCATATTGCCTTTAACTTATGTGGAAATGTCAAGGGCATAATGAAGAAACTGCATTCTCTTTGAAACAGTTCAATAAAAAAAAATCACAGAGGAGGTAACCCATTATAATGGAGTATGATTAGATTGTATTATCATCCAAGTTTATTCCTATAAGAAGAAACAAGAAGATAAGGGAGTATATAAGTGTAGTTTATTTATTTTCGTCTTTTTAAATTACAAAAACCATTGTAGAATCTATAAGTATACATGTACCTACTGCCTCTAGACCAGTGATGTCCATTATAAATATAATGTAAGCTGCATATGTAATTTAAGATTAGCTAGTAGTGGGGAGCCTAGGTGGCTCATTTTCAGTGTCCAGCTCTTGATTTCAGCTCAGGTCATGATCTCAAGGTTGTGGGATTGGCCCCGCCTCAGGCTCTGTGCTGGGTGTGGCACCTGCTTAGGATTCTCTCTCTTTCTCCCTCCCTCTCTCTCTGTCTGTCCCCACTTGCAAGTGTGTGCATATGCACATACTCTCTTTCTCAAAATAAACTTTTAAAAAGGTAAAATAAAATAAAATTTCCTAGTAGTTACATTAAAAAAGTGAAAAGAAATAGGTGAAGTTAATCTTAATGACATATTTTATCTATCCCAATATATCCCAAATATTTCAGCATATAAAATTATTGAGATATTTTAGGGCTGTCTGTGTGGCTCAGTTGGTTAAGTGTCTGACTTTGGCTCAGGTCATGATCTAACAGTCCATGGGTTTGACCCTGTGTGGGGCTCTGTGCTGACAGCTCAGAGCTTGGAGCCTGCTTCAGATTCTGTGTCTCCCTCTCTGTCTGCCTCTTCCCTGCTCACACTCTGTCTTTCTCAAAAATAAACATTTTTAAAAAATGCTTTAAAATTATTGAGATATTTTATATTTTTTATACTAAATTCAAAATCAGTGTGTATTTTACACTTACAACACATCACTAGCCACATTTCAAGTACTCAGTAGGTACAAGGAGCTGCCCTGGTAGATGGGTCTGGTCTGCTCTAGGTAGTCAGCTGCCTGCAGATAGAAATGATGAACAAAGTATATAAAACAATGTTTATTTTATGGTATTTCTTTGAAACTTCAAACTAACTAGAACCCCTCCAGAAGGATTAACTAAAACTACTTCCTGCCACCCATACCATAATCCTTCTCTTTCCATCATTATTTGAGGACAAAATAAAAAATAAAATGAAAACAGGACCATGAAAAGGTCAGATCAGATCTGGCCCTATTTTTTCACCATACTGAAGGGAACCTTCTGCCTATTGGTCTGATCAAATTCTCAGCTTTATTTTATTATGCCTTTAAACAAAGAGAAAGTTCCACTTACGGCAAGAGTTACAAATGTACAACATAACATTATGTAATAATAAAAAAGGCCACCCAAGGGAGAAACGGTGAATAAAGTGCTTTATAAAGCATTAAGTATGAATAATAACATATTTAGTTTTGGGAATTTAAGAATATATTTTTTACATGTGCAAAGTTAATATACCATATTGATAAACTGAAGATTGAATCCATATTATCTCTCCATACATACTAAATAAGCATTTGACAAAATTCAACTCCTATTCTTGATGGGAAAAAGAAAAACCTAAATAAAAGAGGAACAGATGTATAATTCTTTAATATGATGTGTGTGTGTATGTGTGTGTGTGTGTGTGTGTGTGTGTGAGTCCCAAAGTCTGTAAATACTTTATTAAGGAACAGGAGTCTTTCCTAATAAAGGCAGGAATAAGACAGATGCACACCACTGTTATTTAATAGTGTAAAGAAGAGGCAAAAAGAGATGTATAAATATTAAGAAAGGAAGATTTTAACTATCACTATTTGAATACCATGTAATTGTCCATTGGGAAAAACTAGGAGACTCAACTACAAACTACTATAAACAAGCAGCTAATTCAATAAAGTAGCAGCATATAAATATAAAATTAATATAACTTATAATTAATATGATAAATGTATTAACCATAACTTTCATGCATAAAAAGTAATAAGAAAGTATTATAAACAGGATCTTTTCTTCCATTCTATCTATTGAAAAGAAAGATTAAAAAGCTGGGAATAGACTGAGAAATGTAAAAAACTGATACAAATAAATTGCTAAAATACTAGTGAAGGAACAGAAGTTACTTGAACGAATATAAAAACATATCATATTTAAAGACAGTATAGTCTAACCTCATAAAGTTTACTCCAATTAAGCTGAAAAGACCTTTTTTCCCTCCTGAAACCAGGCAAGCTGATTCTAAAGTTCACATGCAACAAACATAATAAAAGTAGGCAGGAAAACCATGAACAAGAAGAGCTCTGTGTACGGTTGGGGGAGGAAGAGGAGAGGGGAGTTGGGGACATGGATAGATGTCTAGCCCTACCAGATGGTATAACTATAAAGATATCATGTATTATACTACAAAGCCTTTGTAATTTTAAAAAATGTGTATTTTTTAGACAGAAAGAAAATTGGATCAAATAGAAAGTCCAGAAATCAAACTATATACAAAAGATTTGCTAACTTGTAGGAAAACCTGGACTTTTCAGTAAATGTTGCTGCTACAATTGAATATCTATCTGGGGAAAAAAAAAAAAAAGCGCAAAACCAACCAATAGCCGGATCTGCATTTACACCATTTATCGGGATAAACTCCAAAGGCAAAAACAAAAGTAAAACAACCACAAAACCGTAAGTGATGTTAGAAGACAAAGGACAATGAGGGAAAGTATTTGCATTTCCTTTTTTTTAAAGATTAAAAATTGTTTTTTAAAGTTTAATTATTTTGAGACAGAGAGAACACACGTGTGCAGGGAGGGACAAAGAGAAAGGGAGAGAGAGAATACCAAGCAGGATCTGTGGTGTCAGCACAGAGCCCGACTTGGGGCTCAAGCTCACAAACTGGGAGATCATGACCTGAGCTGAAGTCAAGAGTCATACGCTTAACAGACTGAGTCACCCTGGGGCCCCAAAGTATTCGCATTTTCTATCACGGACAAATGACAAAATCTCTCTGTGGTAGGCTAAGTGTGTCTGTGCCGCCATAGCCCCTCTCCCCAAATGTGACCTTAACATGGCAAAAGGTACTCTCCAGATTGACTGAATTCAGGATGTGGCGATGGAGGGGTTATCCCAGATTAACTGGGTGGGCATAAGGTAATCACAAGGACCCTTGTAAGAGGAAAGCAGCAGGGTCTGGGTCAGACAGGAGAAGTGATGACAGAAGGAGACAGGGCAGGAAGATGCTAAGCTCTTGAACTGGAATATGGAGGCTGGGGTCAAGAGCTGAGGAATGAAGGCACAAATTAGAAAAGATAACAAAATGGATCTCTCCTAGAGCCTCCAGAAGGAAAGCAACCTTTTTTTTTTTATTTTTTTTTTTAAATTTTTTTTTTTTTTAATGTTTTATTTATTTCTAGGAGAGAGAGAGACAGCGCGAGCAGGGGAGGGTCAGAGAGAGAGGGAGACACAGAATCTGAAGCAGGGTCCAGGCTCTGAGCTGGCAGTCAGCACAGAGCCCGACGCGGGGCTCGAACCCACGAACCTCGAGATCATGACCTAAGCGAAAGTCGGACGCCCAACCGACTAAGCCACCCAGGCGCCCCAGAAGGAAAGCAACCTTAATGACATCCTGATTTTGGGGCTTCTGACTATTAAAGAAAATTCCTACCTCTTCAAAGCTTTACTAAGTGTTGGTAAGGCTGTGAAGAAACGGGCCTCTCGAGCATGGCTAGTGGAAGCACAGACTGGATGGAAATTTCACAATTTACCTATGAAAATTACAAGTGTATTTGCCCTGTGACTCAGAAATCCTACTTCCAGGAATTAACCCTACATATAAGCCCACGCACATGTGAAATGAAATACATACAAGGTTTACAGTCTATTGTTCACCCAGCTGCAAGGGCAATCCTTTTACAACTTAAAGCAGACAGGTTACATTGACCTTTGTGCTACTTCTCTAACACTGCAGGCCTGCTCTTCTGAGGCCTCTGAACTTGCTATTTGCAGTCATGCACTCTCCCCAGATGTTTCCAGGGCTCGGTGCCTCATTACTTTGGGGTCTCTGCTCAAATTTTAACTCCTCTTGAATAGTCTACCTCCCACTCCATCATTTCCTGTCTTCCTTACTCTGCTTTAAATATTTTTTCCTTGATACTACTAAACTCTTCACATAGGTATTGGTTTAATGGTTTACTGCCTATCTCCTTCACTAGGATGTTGGCCACATCTTGCCCTCTGCTGAATCATCAGCATTCAATGTAGTGCATTAGGTGTGCAATAAATATTTGCTGAATCTTTCTTTCTTTTGGTATCTTTCTCTCATTTCTACCTTCCTGTCTTAATTTGGAAATAATACAGAATTGAAACAATTCTTGAATGCCTCACTACCACTCATAGAATCAAGATGAACTTCAGCATAGCATTTAAGGCACTCCTTTTTGGTACCAAGCAATACATCTAGCCCCATCTCCTACCCAAAATATCCCCTTTGAGGCCTGCATTCCAAAGACACAGAACAATCTGCTGTTTCTTGAATAAAATATATACTTTCACACTTGTGTGAATTTAAAAATATTATTCCCTTTAAAAAGAATATCATCTCCTCCTATCCCCTGCCTATTACACTGAACATATC